GATATTTGTTTTGTAAACAGTATGTTTCTTTTATGGCCATTTTAGCCAAATCACTTACATCAACCGTAATGTCATCAAGATGGCAGATTACGATGTCTGTATTATAATTTGTGTGTAAGGCTTATGTGAACCATGGCCTTGGAAAATACTAAATTGTGATGTTTCAAATGACAATAACAATCCCTGATTGAATTAGTTCATTTTATTCTGTGTAATCAGTTGCAGATTCTATTTAGCTGAAGTAAATTGTTAGCTAACACAGCTCGACGATAAAACACACCATATGGTTATCGATTGAGCAATGTCACACTCTAAATCTATGGCGGCATTCTTTAATCATTCGGTCCTCATGCCGGAGATTCAGGTTGGATTCCCCACATGGGTACAATGTGTGAAGCCCATTTCTGGTGTCCCCCCGCCGTGATGATGCTGGAATATTGCTAAAAGCGGTGTAAATCTCAACTCACTCACTCAATCATAACGTTATAATAGTTGCTTGTGTTTCACTGTCCGCCTCTCCACAGTTCGATAGCTAACACAGGTACAATGTTCACTCACTTATAACACACATTTGTGATATGTTGTTATGTTTCCAAGCAATCAGCGAATGGTATAACCGTTACCGGGAATTCATGAATGTGAGCCGTACTACTAGTATGGTGTACTTGTTAAACTTTGTTTTCGTTTGTTTGTCGTTTAACACCGCTTTCAGCAATATTCCAGCTGTACATGGCGGCGGTCCATGAAATCTTCAATACATTAAACTTGTCAATATGTATAAAAAATCTAACTTACAAGGAGTGAATTTGTAGTTAACTTTTGTATGATGTAGCATTTCTATTCTATACTCAATACATACTAAGACCTATAACCAACACCATAGCAGCTACAACATAGAACGGAGCCATGGCTCTAGCTCAACTATCTACTCCTTCAGTGCTCTCGGGGTTTGTTTACACGCCCTACCAACGTATGCGTGGACCGCGAGTCAATGACGCTTGACTGATATCTTCCTCGTGTAAAGTAGAACGCCTTTATGGTTACAGTACTGGTATGCCGTAGTGAGTAACACAACAGATTTCAGGTAATGGATAGACAACCCACAGACTGACTACATTTATCTGTTCAAGCGTATGCGATCTAACTTGGGATATTGACCACTCCTCGCTGGAGCGAAATGGACAGGTGTGATGGCGACTCAATGTGAAGATATAGCTGTATAGAGTACACCATGTATACCGCGTTATATCGAAGGAAACCAGGACAGTCGTCCGTCGCAAGTAACATTTTCCTAAACCCCACAATCAATGCAAGGTAAGATAGGATTCTTATTCTCATCGATCTCATTTCCTTCCATATTTTTAACACAGTGGCCAAGACACAACCCGCAGAACGTTGTTGACAAAGCCAGAGATTATCCATCCATTCGAAGTGCATTCTAGATTGTAACTAGTCACCACTCGCATGAAATAATAACACATGTCTCACGTACGTGTCATCGTTTTTGTTGTATATGCCTTCATATTGTGAATTTACACGTGACTATTTCCATCGTAGCAGAACGTGGTTGTTTACAAGAGAGCTCCCTGTTGCCATAGCAGCACATACACACGCGCCTTACAACACTATGTCGTTCATTCAATATTATCGACCTCGGGGACGGTATTCCATTCAGCGAACCCGCTGTCAGTCCAACTACCTCAACACATATACCTTCGTTCCGGGTGATTGATGGTTATTTGTCCGTCAAATCCATGTTCGGTTCACGGGGTTATAGACTTGCCCATTAGGCGCCTGTAGACTATGTCATTGAACAAAGCATGACGGCGAGTGTCACCAATGGGTTGTGGTAACAGTGCTCAGACACACCCCGGGCAACTGAGTCTCGGGCATGAGGAAGTAAAACAACCAGTGTGCGGGTAGGTGAAATGATGGGCCCAAATGGTATAACAAGTGCTACATTTTTCACAAGAACTCTGTATCGGGATGTACATTTTGATATTCGTTTCCTGTGTGTGTGTGTGTGTGTGTGTGTGTGTGTGTGTGTGTGTGTGTGTGTGTGTGTGTGTGTGTGTGTGTGTGTGTGTGTGTGTGTGTGTGGCCGGTGTGTCTGTGTGTGTCTGTCTGCCTGTCTCTGTCTGTCGGTGTCTGTGTGTGTATGTGAGCGCGCGCGCGCGCGTGTGTGTGTGCCTGCGCGTGTATGTGTCTGCGTGTCCGTGCCAAAGGTTGAGGGCACTTGAAGAATCCGTTGTTCTTAAACGATCAGGTTTGTCAATATACATGCTTAATGAACTGACCCACCAAATAAACAGGACAGAATTTATGATAAAAATAATCAAAACGGACATAATTAAAGCCTGTCTAGCATGTGTGACTGCCATTATTATTACCACTCTCTTTTAAACCCAGTGTTTAAAGAGGTACCCAACTTCTAGATATTATGGGGAACATTTTTACATCAGTAATCAATTACTCTTTGGTTCAAAAGTGCATATCGGAATCATAGTTTGGATTAAGACAGGGTAACATTGCTGTTCTTCAGTCACTATCACATAAATATTTAAGGAAGTAAAGTTTACTGTTTGCTTGTTGATTTCAATAAGAAAGGTCAATGCATATGAACACCTAGTTTTGACTATCGTCAGAAACAAATTCGATTGGTGTAAAGCGAAAACTGGCCCTATAAAATAGCATAGGAAAGCTTTGGATACGGTTGAAATGAAATAAATACTGTATTTACTCTTAACACAATGCATCATCCATTGAATTGTATTTAATGCACTAGAGTGTTTGTATCGCAAAGTTCAAGCCTTATTTGACACTGTGTTAGATAAGGATGTATGCTCTCACCATTACTGTTACTTTATTCACACTCAGGACGCGCTCTGTGTCACATGTTTGCAACATTATGTACAACGTATGTATGTTATATACACGTATTATACACAATATCATCACAGAATAAACTCTGTCTGAACATGCATTTAACCGTTTTAATTAACAATGTTACACTCATGAGTTATTGTTGATCTTTTGGGGCGTTGGTTAAAATGAGACATATGCTAATTTCCTAATTGTTCCCAGTTTATTAGAGTGAAAAGGCTGGTTCATAGTATGCATATTCGGGTTTCTACAGCAAAAGTTGTTGATATATTTTTGAAGTAACTGTTATGAATTGCGATGACATGTTATCACTATTAATTGTGATGTTGATGAAATATATTTGGCTCTAATTGGCAGTAGATGTGTGAATGCTCAGTTTGTTATGAATCTGCAAAACCAAATAACTAGTTTAGAAATATGCTGTTATAAATAGGACAAACAACAAACATTTATAAGAGTAAATGTATGGTATTTTGAAATAGATTACCACCTCTATCACAACGTGGAAAATAGTTATTAATAGTGAACATATTAAAGTGGTATCATGCTATAGAAATCATGGTATTTTAATAACTCTAATAATTAAAGCACTGCTGTTTCAAGCTGTTTTAAACATTTTGTTTCATTTGTTAGGTATACGTTGTTTACTGATGGCTTTAGTAAATGTCGTCAGGTTGTATATTTAATTCACAAAGGCTAAAAATAATACGGCACCTAAAATCCTAACTACAACCTGAAAAATATCAATCATCGATTAAGACTACATTTAAGAAGACTTCTGAACAATTGCAGTGTTGTTCGAATGATTTATGATAAATCCATAAAGATACAATGTGATCATGACAGTCGATGCAATTTTACAGATACTAAATTCTCTAAACATCCATAAAAAATCTCGATTCTAAAAGTACGACATTGTCATAAATATGCGTTTATGAATCACTGTGAAATAGTGACGGCACAAGATGTTCGACGACTTAGATGATGAAATGCTTGTTTACACTATATAGATAAAGAGATAGATACATATATCGATAGATAGATATATATAGATATAGAAAGATATACACAGATACATGTCCAGCTTATACTTACTTATAATCAAGATATGTGCCCTTGTATAATTATAAAAATCCTACGATGCATGAGGTTGTACGATACAAACGACCACACTATTTTATAACAGCATGCTCCAAAACGACAAAACAACGTCAAACAATTCCAGACCAGTATATCCTGAAGCACTGTGTCACAATGCACCCAACATTACCCAATCATCTGTACCACTGGCCTCATGGGCAGACTATACGATTAAATTCTGGTCTGTTCAATGCTTCGAATATATTTCTTCAAAGCACGATGACGTCCCGTTGAGAATTTTGAACTGACGTTTTATTTCCCTCATGAATTTCTGTCCCAATATGTTTACAAAGTACCTAATCTGCTTATTGCAGTTTGTGTATCTGTAAACGAAGCTATTAATGTGTGAATGGAAACAAACAACATTGTCACTGATCAATGAAATTCGCCATTAAACCTGCTATATTCATCATATTCGATTCAAAACGTCAAGACATGGAATGGTTTCCATTATCTGAAGAACAACTTCCAGTATGCTCGAAAGTAAAAATATAGATGCAAATTATGAAAATGGATCGCTGAAAATTGCAGTGACACAAATTGTTCCAGAAAGGGTTAGCATGTCTGCCCTCAACAGTTGTACCTGCCACTCACCCAAGTTTCATACAAAGTAAGTGTTTGTTGCTTAGCGTCGCGCCCAGCGATACCCCAGCCATGCAATGACAGCGTGTAAACAATCGGGTCGGGTCCAGCCAATCAGTGTCAAGAATCATGAGCAAACATCGATGTTGGTGGGGTACAATGCCACACTGATCCATTAAGATCCATTAAGTTGAGTGCATTTAAATAATGATGGTAAAACGCTCTATATGTTAAGGTCGTGATATAACTGAAATACTGTAACGGTTCTGAACGATGTTATACTCACTTACACTCTTATCACTCACTCGCCAACTCACTAGCCCACTCACTCACCCACTCCATATTTCACTGGAGAAACATCCATGAGATCATCAGTATACATTTCGTCATTCCAGAGTTGATCTTGCTAATACTAATAGGAAGGAAACTTCTACAAGCGAAAAAGGAACTAAGTTGGATAATGTCTCTGGGAAGCCTGCCGTGGAAACGACTGAAGATGCGGTCAAAACTCGACCAACCATTACCAGAAGGAAAACTGAGTTGAAGTCACGGCGTCAAGACGGCCGACATGCAGGGAGACCTGGAACGAGTCATCGACACAGAGACCACCCAAAGCATCACGGGAAGAAATCAGATACAGATGAGGTCATCCGTGGTAATGTGACAGTAGAATGTCCGTCTACAGCCAAAATTGTCCGGATCTTCACAAGCAGCACATTCACAGGTACCGTTCTGCTTTTCAACTCTGACAATATATTATTATTGTTTATTAAAGGATATTTATGTAGCGCACATATCCAGGCAACTAGTGTACGCACAAGGAGCTGAGTACCACGTATGACAATGTCAAGGACGACATACATGACATTCCTTCAAAATGATAAGTTATTTCGATTTTATACATCACCAAAGTAATAAGACATTGCGAGAACAGACTTAAAATCCAGAATTTAAAGAAGGTAATTACGAAACTGCGAGGTATTTTATGCAGTACATTTGTAATGCATGAGAATCACGTTTTCTGCTTCGATATGCATTTTGACTGCATGTGCATTATGGTAGATTTGGTTGTTGTATCCATTATAATGCATGTACTTTGAATTAATGCATAATTTTGAAAATTGCTTAGGGAACTGTCAATTCGTTACTGATAGTCCACAGTTGACACAATTTCAGACCAACTTATTTCACTTTGTACAATTCGACTCCACTTTCTTATGGATATCGAAAGGTTTTTGTCACCTATATTTACCATAATTGCTAGTATTACATGTAAGAGTAAGGTGTGTTCTCATTAATGCCGCTGTATATCTCTTGTTGTACAGACACATGGCACGAGAGGAACGCCCTGATGGAGAGGGCGTACCCCGCCCTGAAGGAGGTGTGTCAGCAGCAGGGGTACGAGTTCCAGGTGGTGGACATGAGATGGGGCATCAGAGATGAGGCCACGGACGACCACATGGGGACAGAACTCTGTCTGAGGGAAATTGATCTCTGCAAGAAGTTGTCAACCGGACCTAGTTTTGTAGTAAGTGTTGAAGATTCTGTTGGTCGATTTTCCATCATATGCCGATTACGTATTCTTTAAACACATTCAGATTCAGCTAATTTCCGGGGAAATGATATTTAGTGTGCTTATGTTTTACCACCTTCATAAGTAAGGGAGTGAACAGTTTATCTTTGGAATTGTAGTAATTTTGCGTCAGTGAGAAGCAATAATGGCCAGTCTTCCGTGCAGATGATTATACCTTATCAGTATTTATTACATATTATTGCTTATATTTTCCCCTCCAGACATTTCTAAGTCACAAATATGGTTACCGTGACTTCCCAAATAAAGTTGAGGCAACTGAATTTGATACACTGATTGCTGCAATGGAAGGGGAAGAAGCACTGGGGCTCCTAAAAACGTATGTACACGCCAGTTGCTGGTATAGGACATTCGACAAAAAAACATGGGTGTGAGCTGAAATAGCACTCAACGTTACAAATATCGGGATGTGCATGTATGCCTCTCTGCCTGTCTCTGTCTGTGTGTGTGTGTGTGTGTGTGTCTGTGTCAATGTGTGGCTGCTTATACTGCTTGATTAGTACCAGTGTATTAGCACTAGCCTTTAGATACAATGTTTATAATGCAAATGGCACCCATATCAAGTGTACAATTGCTTGCTTTATCTTATCCCCTAAAAGCTGAACAGCAGGAAGGGTATAGCAAGAAGAAGTATATTTTAACGAAAGGCAGAGCACCAACATATGTGCAATATAATAACTAACAGCAGAGAACCAACATATAGCAACACGGCAATTGTGCAGCATAATGGAAGATGTCCTATCTCTGTTTAACATCAGCTGGTTCAAGAGAGATGACAATGCCGTACCCCCGACCTACTTTCTTCAACCAATCAGCTCCATTCTACCAGACTTTCGAGATGAGAATGAAGAAAAACAGAAGTCCGCGAAAGCAGCTTGGTACGATCAGAATACAATCATGCAGAAAGCCCTTGTGAAAGCAGCCAATGAGAAACTTGATACAAAGACAGCTCACCGTTACGTCATGTCCGGTATGCAACACTGACTTGTACTCTTTGTGTTGTGATCAGTTTCCACTGGAAACAACCCTTATGCCTTCGGTTCAAACTGAAATTGGCCTTGTATCGTTTACAGTGACCGAGGCTGAAATCACACGAGGAATAGTGGAGTCTGAAGATAGGTCGTCCAGCTGTTTGTGGTTTCACCGAACCATTGATGCCATTGACAAACAGGAACCAAGTTACAACCTGAGCAGATACAAGGGTAGAATGTTGTTGTTAAAACTGTCAATTGTTACCTTTCATAATATTCTGTTGCTTTTCAATACATTGTTTGCTACAAAAAGATGAGAATCACTTATATAGTATTTCCAACTGTTAAATATCACACGAAACCATTCTTTATAATACTCTCAAACGCAGGTATATACCATGGTGCACTTAGGAAGATGTTAGGTCATTGTTATAACGAAGGTTACAAAAGGGACATTACAAGAACATAACAAGAATCATGATGATTACAGAATGCACTGGACCTGAGGATAGACTCCAGGAATCTTACGATCTCTTGGTAGATCTGCGAGACAGAAGACTCCCCAGTCTGTTGCGTTCTGAAAACCACAAAACATATAACATCGAATGGACAGCCAATGGTGAGTACATTATTTTGTTCAGATATTTTGTATTTTGAATCAACAAACGTATTGTGGAAAGACAATTTAGACATACAGGAGTTTCTATTCTGTTTGTTTTTTTTGTCAAAAGGAGTCGACCCCACAAAGAGTAAAAGACACGAGGCCTATATCCAACAGCTGTGTCAGGACTTCGCGGAGGAGATTTCACAGAAGGTGATGCAGGCAATTGAGGACAGGAAGAGAACCGACCTGGCCAAACCTTTGTATGCAGAGATTGTGGAACACACAGTCTTCTGTCAGTCTAAATGCAAAGCCTTCCATGGACGACAGGAGACGCTAGACGTATGTTTGTTGCTTTGATTACGTAAAATTCCTTTTGAAAACAGCCATATACAAGTTTACAGTAGAGCTTTCAAAAAGGTGTATGGTAGACATAGTGAGAACATTTGTAAATGTGAAGCATCAGCTGACACCAAGACATGTCTCTATTTGAACTTGTGAAATGTTCCCGAGTTTATAAACAAACAATTGACTTGCTTTTGTCTGAGTATGTGATGAATGCCACAAATAACTGTGGAAATCACTCATCTTCCCGCGAACACCTGCCACCATCACTACCTCATATCAATCAATCAATCAAGTGGGGATCGTATAATCTACTCGGCAGATACTTTGTATGGATGTGGAAAGGGTTTTGTTAGAGGCAGCAAGAATAACATTGGCGTTACTCTTCAATACACAACTTGTCAGAACTGTATAGTAATGAAAGGATTCCTCATTTGGGTTTATACTCTGGCGTCTATTTATATGTGTACATCAGTACTACACCTGCCTTTTATTCCAGCTCGTAACGAAATACCTCCAAGGAACGTCCAGAACTCCTTTCATTGTACACGGACCCTCAGGGTGTGGGAAGACATCTATCGTTGCCATGGCAGCTACTTTAGCACAACAAAGCTTTAGCAGCAAGACTGGGGTGGTTATAAGGTAAAAGGGATACTTTTTTCAGCAAAGGTTAAATAAGACAACGTTTGGACTTGGCATTATTCCTGTCTTTTTTAGAAATTAACCACAAGTGGTGTTTTTTCTCTAAATTGTCATCAAGGACGTGTTTTCTCAAATATGTGAGAAAAATATTTGCTATTACTTTGCAAATATCAGGTTTTTCTGGACACATTAAGTTAATTCCCATCATAAGAGATGAAACAAAACTTAAGAAGGAAGTAATTAAATGTGCAAGTAACAAAGCAGAAATTATAGGCACTTGGTTAGGATTCCAGGGTTCCAAGTAAACCAAGGTACAACATTTGCGACTAAGTAAACTTGGCTGCTGCCTTGTGGTTTCTGCAATGATTATTGTGCCCTTATGCAGCATTGTTAATAAATATACTGTACAGAGGGTGGACATCACCACTGATTCCAACTCTTCAGGTTCATTGGAACTACTCCGGACAGTTCAACCATTGGTGCCTTGTTGTCCAGTGTGACGTCACAGATTTGCAGGATTTATGGAGAAGAGATAGAAGATGAACTTCCTGCTGTAAGGACCGGTGTCTGCTACCCTTTGTTTTGTCAGATCTTCCTCTCTTCTTCACTGCACAGCCATTACTCATGTAACGCTGATTGGATTCCATACTATTTAATGAAAAGGCTAATCGCTTGCAAAACTGTTTGATTCAATTAACGTTTCCTCCAATTCTAGTGTTTTCTTTTACACAGTCACCCATGGTATTTCCTCACTGTTTCTAAGTTAAAGTTTATTATGAACATATTTCTTAAACTTAGATCATTTTCAAAATATATTTGTATAAAAGGAGTATGACTCCCTTGAGTAGTTAAGGATTTGTCACTATTTCTCAGTGTGGTCTGTTTGGTTTCTTCAAAGAATTCTTCTTTGTTTGGCTTAGATTTTGTTACTACTTCATGATGTCATGGAGTGCTAAACAAGTGACTCTTTTCCATCTTTAATATACGTCTCTTTGTCACAGTAAAGTCTCGTGGGTGAAGACATGTTTCTTCCTCATGTAATAGCCCAGTGGGTTGACAGTTATCTCCACTTCAGAGTATAGTCCTGCTTTTCATAGTATTTTCTTTTCAAGTAAGTCTAAAATAGGGAAACAAAGTACTCTAGAAATTGATGGATTCTTATTTTCACAAAGAGACAGATTTCATTGGCAAACAACAATAATCCATCAAACATTGAAAGACATAATGCACGTTTCTCAATATTCAGCCTTCGACTAATATTATGCTCTTTTATGTCCAAGGATACAAAGGAACTGACCAAAATATTCCACGAGACTCTGAATTTGGCCACCAGTGATGAGCCTTTGGTCCTCCTGCTGGACTCACTTGATCAGTTTGACCCATCAGGGGGCGCTCGCCAACTCTTCTGGCTACCGAAACAACTCCCCAACAATGTGAAGATGATCTTGTCAACGTTACCAGAACCTCAGTATGAGAGCTTTCCTCGATTACAGGTAAATGGAAGGAAATTAGATAGACACTGCCTCAGTTATTGAGTCAAAATCAACAATAAACACCTAATTTAAGATATTTACATGCATTGTACATGCTGCATTCTACATATTCTTTTTCAGGAAATGTATTCTGAAAGGGACAATTTCCTTAAAGTGCCAAAGCTCGCAGACAAAGACGTTGAGGGCATTCTTACCAAATGGCTGGATGTGGGTCGTCGTGATCTGACGGAACAACAGAGACAAACAGTCCTTGGGGCTTTCCAGAAGTGTCCACTTCCTTTGTTCCTGAAACTGTCATTTGATGAGGCATGTCGATGGTCATCCTTTGCACCCCAGTCAGAGACAACTCTCCAAACATCCATTCGTGGAAGTATCAACGCCCTGTTTTCAAGGGTTGAAGCACTTCATGGAAAAATCTTTGTGTCAAGAGCTTTAGCATATCTAACGTTGAGTAAGTATTAGTACGTGCATGTCAACTGGCAAATTTCAATTTCTTGTGCTACTTTGTGTTGCTGGGTACAAGGATACGCTGATCGTGGGTTAAGATAGCAGGTTCAACCTCATTTTGAATATCGGTGTGTGAGCACCAAACCAAACCTGTTTATTTCCAAGTAGTAGTAAATTTCTACCAACAATGTTACCTTCGACTTTTCCCAGATCTTAAAGATGTCAAAATGCGGTAGCTCATTTGCAAATCAAAAGTACACTTTGACTGTAGATATATTTTGAAAAGGATTAACATATATATGGCCTAAAGGCGTATGTCAGCAGTTAGAAACCCTTGATTAAATGAACATTAGTTTTAAGGTAAATAATATACATCATCAAATATACAATAATAAGATTTTCGATTAAATGGGTGAGTGACGATTTCTTCTTCAGGTAAAACGGGTTTGACGGAGAGTGAGCTGGAGGACATCCTGTCATGTGACGATGATGTCCTCAATGACGTGTACATGTATTGGACTCCACCTGTCAGGCGACTTCCGCCTCTACTCCTGGTCAGGCTGAAGGCAGACCTTGGTCAGTATTTGGTGGACAGAGGAGCTGATGGAGTGAGGGTCTTCTTCTGGTATCACAGACAGTTCATTGAGGCTGCTACAGACAAATATTGCTCTGATCCTCAATTCAACCAACAAATGCATGGAACTCTGGCTGATTTTTTTGCTGGAACCTGGGCAAACGGTGAGTAACAGGGTGGAAGGGAAACAACCTTGATCATTTCTTCAGTCTTCTACTTAATGCTGATATGGAAAATTATTAAACTCCTAAATCACATGGTTATGAATATGCTCATTGAATTCTGATACATGTCTGTTTCCATTTATACCTTTCTTTTTGGCGAACCAATTTTATCACCACTGACTGTTGCTTTCATGTAATTTTCACTACCGTTTATACCTTTACGCCCAATGAGATCTGTTAAGGCAGACATTTGAGACATCATTACCTGGACGTTGTATATTTATGGTGGTCATGTTAAACTTCAGGTAAAGCTAAACCATACGTAGACAAGAAGGGTAACAAAGAAACTGCTGACCGTAAGCCAGCATCACAGCCAGACAAATTCAAGACAGGTTATAACTTGAGAAAACTGAACAACCTTCCTTACCAGCGGACAGAGGCCAAGCAGTTGGGTCTCCTGAAGGAGGAGTGTTTGATGAACTTTGCTTTCCTTCTGTCAAAACTACATGCATCAGGTTTAAGGTAAACTGCATCAAAGGCAACATGAAATCGGGTTTGTCGGTCCTGTGAGATTATTACAGAAACATGGTAGCATGCATGTGTTGGGCAATTTGTTATAGTCTGGACTTGTGAAACTTTTTGATACATTTGTACCAAAAACACTGAGTGTTGTCCATTGAGCCATAAGTCCACAGTTTATTATGATACACATTAATCTTACTCCCAGCCAACCAGTCTTGGTAATATCCTTTTTAATCCAAACTGCCTGTCATGGGTTTTTTTTTGGTGTGTTTTAATGCTTTCCTCAGCAGTATGCTAATCATGGGTTGCTGAAGACAACCACTTCTTTTGGTTAGACAAGGCAAAGGGGGTAGCAACTGTATTGATGGCTCAATGGTACACTCAGACACTGAACCATGTACCCATCTGCCTATATAAAACAAAGTGAGTATTATTTTAAAATCCTGTTATTGCATGTATTGAATCCAGGCCTATCCTAGAGGACTTTATCGCTGCCAGAAATGTGTACCCAGATGACCAAGAACTAAAGATTGTTGGAGAGAGTCTTCAGTTGTCCCAAGATGCTCTGGTATCCTATCCCAACGAGCTTCCATCTCAGCTGCTGGGAAGGATCAAAGTATGGGATGGCCTGGAGAATCTCCGAGATGGTTGTAAGACGGCACCAGGGTACTTCCTTCAGCCTGACAGATCAGTCCTAACCGAACCCGGTGGACAGCTGGTGAACTGTCTTGCCGGACACAAAAAAGACGTGTATGGAATTGATATGACCAATGACTCCAATTTTGTTGTAACATGTAAGTCCTTTTAGTAACCTTGTCATTGAATGTCAAGTAACGCGACAGCATCAACGATTGTATTTGTAGTTATTCTTTATTTCGGTTGCTCTCAGTTGTTTAAACGGGTTAGAAGTGATCTATAGCAAACCATGATTGTCGCAAGTGACGACTAACGGGATCAGATGGTGAGACTCATTGCCTTGATTAAAACATGTCATCGTATCCCAATTGCGCAGATCAATAATGCTCATACTGTTGTCTCACCTAGACTCGATTACATACAGACCACCGCCACAAAGCTTGAATATTGCCGAGTACATCATTAAAGAACCAACGAAAGAAACTCAATTTTTGTCAATGATGGATTGTACATCTTGTATTCCCAGGTGCTTATGACAGGTCTGTGAAAGTCTGGGATGTTGGCAGTGGAAAATTGGTTCGGTCAATGGATGATGTTGGGGAAGATCCGGAGAAAGTTGTACTATGCTGCGATGACTCTGTAATAATTGTTCATCCAGATGAACACATACTTGGTTATGATTTCAAAACCGGCACCCCACTGTACAATATACACTTAGAAGATGGAAACCGTCTGTTTTGTGTTGGAGGAAAGAGCAACAGCATCCTTGGAACCTTCCATGAAAAGTCAGTGTCACTTTATGCAGCTGACACAGGCACTCTACAAAAGACGGTTGTGTGTACTCTCCTTGGAAGAAAACAGGAATTTGGTTTCAGTTCCCAATGTGCTGGTAGGTAGCTACAATTGCAATATTCACTGGATAGTGAACCAGTACATCTCCAATAATCGAAGCACACAAAAATACAAATCCATGTAATATCAACGGACATTAAGTCAAAAGTTCTCAAATCAGGAGAGATTATCTCTGTGTCTTTATTGATGAAGGAGGCTTCTATTTCTGTTCTAACCCAGGGAGTCTGCGATACATGGCAGTAGCTGATGATGACCAGCACTCGATATTCGTTCTTGATCTCGAAACGTCACAATTCATTCAAAAGAAAAAGATCTTCGAGAAGTTCAAAGATAAAGATGGTGATGAAGACCAGTACACAATTGACGCTCTTGCCCTTTCCCTCAGCGGTCACCGACTCTACCTGTCCGAGATGTATAAAAACGACCTTCAGGTATACAACACAAGAACATTGGAGCAGGAATGTGTCTACCCAGGTTAGTCCATTTAGTATGTAAAGTGTGAGGTCATCATATTGAAGGTGATGCTAACATATTGACAGTGGCGTTAAAACTACAGTGTATACATCTACTTAAATGAAGCAAGGTGGGAAGAAACCATCAACCACTAGATGTAACAAGGTGGAAAACTGAAGTGTCATGAATACAGGATACAACAGCGTGTGAATACAGGATACAATAGTGCGCAATCAAAGTGAATGGCTCAAGTTTTAAAGGGAAAGCTACACTTGTAGTCTACATACTTCTACATCTGTGCTCCGTAACTTGCTCTTTATGTCGATCGTTTTTTCTTATACTTTTACAGGTAATGAAAAAGACTCCTCTGAGAAGTTCAAGATTACTAGAGATGGGAAAACCCTGTACTTCCCCAGCAATCACCATGTTGTTTTATGGAACTTAGAAACTGGATCTAGATCAACAGTTATTGAACAAGGACAAGGTATGGTTTCCTCTGTGTTAACACGTCTTTTACTTATAACATATGCTCAGAACAAATTCGTTACATTTAAATACCGTTGTATATGTTTGGAGATTGTAATTTTTTGAGCTGTTGCAATATATTCAACCCGTGATTTTATCGACTTCAGCGTAAAAAACACAATGATAACGTGGCTCATGTGTAGACACCACAAAGTGTCTGCTTTCTTCTTATAAGATTCGTACCAAGTTCCCTGTTGGAAGTGTCACCTTTATTATTATATATAACAAGTTTTATGGATAACAACTTCTTTATTTTCGTGAGTGCGACGTTTCGATACAGATTCTTGTACCGTTGTCAAGCAAGAGTGATACATGAAGTGTAGGAGCTGCATATATATACTGTATATAACAATGAAACAACATAATAGACAAAGGAAACAACATAATTGCCATGATTGGCTAAGCAGTAAGCTGATGAAGCCAGTAAGGACATAAAGGATAGTGAGTGGAAGCCAGAGATGTAGTTACAATGAGATGTTTATACAATGGATGCGATGTTTATACAATAGACTGGGCTTGGTGGAGGAGTGGATCATAAGCAGATGGAATGAAGTATCCTTGGTCACACGGTTGATGGTAGGCTTGTGGCGTTTGATGTGAATGGCTTCTGTGAGCTTGCGTTTAGTGAAGTCCGTTTGGTTGTTGGCGATGGTTCTCGCCAACAGCCAAACGGACTTCACTCGCAAGCCTCAGAAGCCATTCACATCAAACGCCTACCATCAACCGTGACAAGGATACTCATTCCATCTGCTTATGATCCACTCCTCCACCAAGCCCAGTCTGCTATAAACATCGCATCCATTGTATAAAACATCTCATTGTAACTAACATCATCTGGCTTCCACTCACTATCCTTTATGCACTTACTGGCTTCATCAGCTTACTGCTTAGCCAATCATGGCAATTATGTTGTTTCCTTTGTCTATTATGTTGTTTAATTGTTATATACAGTATATATATGCAGCTCCTACACTTCATGTATCACTCTTGCTTGGCAACGGTACAAGAATCTGTATCGAAACGTCGCACTCACGAAAATAAAGAAGTTGTTATCCATAAAACTTGTTATATATTGTACGTCTCAACTTCTAAAATGCCACTCAAACAAGTTACCTTTATTATTGTTTGAAAATAATGTGAATTAAACTACGAATGAGTGAGTTGGGTTTTACGTCGCTTTTAGCAATATTCCAGCAATATCACGACGGGGGACACCAGAAATGGGCTTCACAGATCCCTGATAGCAATGTTTGTTCGATAGCAATGTTGGACCAACATTGGCCCAACTGACATTGCTATCTGGGATTGTGCCCATGTGGGGAATCGAATCCGGGTCTTCGGCGTGACGAGCCAACGCTTTAACCATTAGGCTACCCCACCGCCCGAAATTAAACAACGATCACAACGAATCCGCTTGTAACGAACCGATGGATATGATGATTTGCTTGCCCCGACCATTTTCTGTAAATAAACAAACTACTGACTTATCAAAAAGTAGAGACCTCTTTAGGTTCGAAGTAAGCGTAATCTAATGTATATCATAAACACAATTGTGTCTTGCTGTCTGTGTTAGCTGTACATGCAGAAGTCCACAATGAAGCCTTCAGAGAAAGATTAGACTTTTATATAACACTCATATGTAATTGTGTGTATGTGTCTTTGTCTAGGTGTATGTGTGCCTGTGTTAGCTGTACATGCAGAAGTCCTAAATAAAGCCTTCAGAGAATGATTACACTTTTAATGTTCAACAGGCATTACTGATGTGGTGATGAAGGACCTAACAACAGCTGTGTCCTTCAGCGATGACAGAGTGGTTAGAATCTGGGATTTGACGAGGGAGGCAAAGTCTCACAGTGACGATCAAGAAAACGAGGAACACTCAGAGTGCCTTGAGAGTAATGATGAAACCGATGCTGTGAAAGAGCACTCCGAAACCAAGAAGGACGGAAAGAAACAAAACCCCATTAAAATCATGTATGTTCATTTTACTTAGCTCTCGGACATGAAATTAGACACACAGCAAATAGCACTCTGTGGACAAGCATTACTGATTACAGAAAGACATGACTTTACATTGTTTAACCTGAAACCACATTAAATAGGACCTAGTATCGACCAGTGAATCCAGCTGTCAAATGTGCCCTCACTCATTTTTGTTGAAGGAAAGGCATGACCAACGTGTGTTTAGATTAGGGGTTCGATATTACCTCCATTGTAATCCTGAATGTGTCCTCGAAACAGAATAGTCACTGTAATAACTCCTAGGCATTGCTCTCTGACTCGTAGACTAAGCGTCCACTCATTCTCAGATTTAAACTCACATGTGTCATCTCACTTTGTCTACCCGTCACCGAAACATAATTTGTAAAGTAAATAATAACCCTCAAAATAGATTTGATCAATAGCATCAGTCAGTAAGCTAACAAGTTTCCCACCGGGTTGTGTTTTGAAAGGAAGCTGATGACTCTGGCAAACCCTCGATATGTGTTGTTGAAAGCCAGTGGATCCAGGAAGAAATACCTTCAGGTTTACGATCTGCCACTGAAGAAGGTAGTCCGGCATATCAAAGTGGTGAGTACAGCAATAAACATTGAATTTAATTATTTTTCTAACTTTTGGATAAGAGAATAGAATCAAAGATTCCTTAGAATATCCTTTGTTGTTGTATCACGTTTCAATAATAGATTTGGAGGTTGTCTATGAAAGTCAGTGTCTGAACAGAACTTTTGATTGAATGTCTTTCAGGACTTGTCGCTGTCAACAGTTATCCCCCTTGACGACAGCATGCAAGTCCTAGTACGAGTTAAAAGAAAATTGAAGGTTATCGACCTATCATCTGGAACGATCCTAAGGACGTTTGAAGGGAAACTGTCAGAAAATAGTTCAGACTTCATTCTAGTTGCTGACCAGAAAGGTTTGTTGGAAAATTTCATAAAATAATTGAACTATAATATAAAAATAATTTAAGCCCAGTCGCGTATGTTACTTGTTGTGCTGTTACTTTCATTCTTCGATAGGGGTACATTGCGGTTTGAAAGTGAGTGATTATGCTGCTGATAAACCTAGAGACGATACTTTTGACCAACGATCATAGGTTTCTGGAACATCAAAGGGCCGCAACTCTGACGATAGGTCTGATCATGTATCCTGCAATTGTAATGAGAAAGTAACTATCATTAATTTATTTGCAAAATTCAAAAGTCATCCGGGTAACACAATATTTTTCATAATTATCGAGTTTCTGTTACAAATTTTTTTCATCACAATTTCTTCTGAGTAGTTCACGGATTGATTTCCACTCTTCGAACCTATTTGAGTGAGTGAGTGTGATTTTACGCCGCTTTCATCACTATTCCAGCAATGGTGGACGGCACCAGAAATGGGCTTCACACATTGTACCCATGCGGGGAATCGAACCCAGGACTTCAGCGTGACGAACAAACGCTTTAACCACTAGGCTACCTCACTGCCCTGAACCCTTCTACTATACCATATAGGGTAGATCTCTCCCAATTCTGTTAGTATCACAAACTTCAATAGCTATTTCACACTTCAGAAGTGGCATGTCCAACAAGAGGACGCAAGGGAATCAAGTTATATGATCTTGCAACTGGAGAGACGTTGGCCATTATGGAGTCAAACAATACAAAGAGATTTGATGAAATAAAGGTAGGCTGAAGCTGACCGTCCTTAAACGTATGACTTAATGACCAACATGTTCTGTGATATTACAGCTGCATGGTGATCTGTAACGTAATCTCTGCATTTTCAATGAAAGACATTTCAAAATAACCATTCTATTGAATCAGAGTTATGTACGTTGAATACGTATACCAGATCAGACAAGGACATAGAAAATCGGTGAGATGTCCTTCCAACACGTATTGCTTTACAATGAATAGCAGTATCCTAGTGTTGGATGAAGTGATCCTAATGTCAAATGTACACCAATTTGACAAAGATGGGAATCATTTTGTCATTAGTGCATAACATTCTACGAATCTAACCATTTTCGACCATTAACCAGTAGAATGCATTGATATTGAATCTCCATCAAGAAGCGGTGATAACACGTGCTTGGGAAAAGATGAGGTTATACTGCCGTACCAGTGGCACCATCATAAACACGTGCAAAGGCAAGTCAATTGTTAAAAGAACTCGACAACACACAGTACAAATCAAAATAAGGATTTCATTGGACACCTGTCTGCTTCGCATCTTCTAAATCTACCTGTATGAATATACCTGCAGGCTGGTGAGAAAGGCACTGTCCTGTTGGCGGCTACAGATGATGGCCCTTGCTACGTGTTTGACGTTCTCAAACGGACATGTTTGTATGAGATCAGTCCACAGCAAATGAACAGCGATTACATCTACATTAACGATGCTGCAGTCACCGATGACGACGCCTATTTGGTATGGCAGTCGAACACACATCCCCAACAGGAACCTGAAGGTCGGAAAGACTATATAGCCCTGTGCTGGGACTTACATAACAGTAAGTATCAATTCAGATTTGAATATATAAAAAGGCAGATTTGAAACACTGATACAAGAGGAACATATGTTCATTTCATGATGCCTGGTACCAAAGCTTGACAACACCTAATGTGCTGTGCTCACCTTAAACAGATGAACTCGTAATACAAAACTGACTCTTTTAAATAACCAAGAACTGATCACTGTATAAGCTTTGAAAGGGGTGTCTCCAGCTCCAGCTGACTGTACGAGGAAGGAAGGTATATGTTTTCTTCCCGTGGTGGACTTTATCAGTACAAAGTTATGCCATTTGGGTTAAGAAATGCATTTCAAGTACATTTCAAAGTAACATAATCAGCAATCCAGAAGATTGGGTCGATTATCTGAAGAGGTTCCGATCCTTTCTTGACAGATCTTTCAGAGGCTATCACATATTATGGGTCAGTTATTTGAAGAGTTTCCAATCCTTTCTTGGCAGACATTTCTGATGCTATCACATATTATGAGTCGATTATTTGAAGTGGTTCCGATCCTTTCTTGACAGATCTTTCAGAAGCTATGACATATTTTGGGTCGATTATTTGAAGAGTTTCCGATCCTTTCTTGACAGAAATTTCAGAGGCTATCACACATGATGGGTCGATTATTTGAAGAGATTCCGATCATTTCTTGACAGATTTTTCAGAGGCTATAAAATAATATCACAGTTCATCTTGCAAAAAAGAGAATTTGTCGAGTCGCATGTTGTGTTCTCCCGTCATGTAGTCGGTCAAGGTCACAGCATGTAGTCGGTCAAGGTCACCGCATGTAGTCGGTCTTGGTAAGGTACAACTCGTCAGAGCAGCGTGAAGACTTCTTGTTAAATTTGTGTGTACACGTTTCACAGTTATACTCTTGACAAAAGTAAGGGAACTTTTTTAATTGGATATCGGAGTCAGTCAATGTTCCTTATGACAATAGTCGTTTGTACAGTAATCGCTCTTGAAAGATGGTTGGTGTATGACGTGAAATTTGCATGTATACAATTTCCATTTTCAAACAAACAAAACACAGACTAGAAACAAATACTAACAACTGTGTGATACAAGTTGTGTGTGAACATTAATGGTAAACAGTGATTTATCGACACCCCATGCACGTGTATGGGGATACTGCGTTGTGCACGTGCATCTCATGGTTGTGCATTCATAAGATGTCTGTCTTTGAAAAGTTTGTTTTCCTATCCAAATTGAAAGTTCCTGTTCCCCTACTTTTAAAGAGCATATTTTGCCCTTTAGGGAACATGAAATCTGTTCCTGATGACAGCCAAAGTTAGGTATTATTTCTTACTGACGTGACATATGTATGCAAATATTTTCGTGGACTTTTTTTCAGACAACCTCCACAAGGAATTCTTTGATTATGAATTCTACCATAAATATGAAAAGGATGATGGCAACGAGGATCTCGGGGTAGATGTTTTAACACTGCTAGACAACAGGACCCTGGTCTGTAACCATAACGATGCGTTCATTAGAGTGTACGATCTGAACACAGGTAGGTCAGCCTGGAGTACACATCCATCTGAACACGGTAACACAATATCATACACATGATGATACACTTATTCACAAGGGTGTTTCTGTCAACAGAGGTGTTCAGGATATAACCTAATAGAAGCTTTTGTACTTACAATGGGGTTGGATATTAGCCTTAGGTTAATCTGATACAGTGGTACTACTTTCTTTTGCAAATTATATCTAATCCATCGTGTACATGTGTAAATATGCGTTATGGCTACAATATTGGAGACCAACCCAAAGTAATATACTCATGCCAATAATGGCTGTCCCCCCCCTCCACCATCCACCAAAAAGTCAAACATTGTCCAAGAGATGGTACAAACTGTTCCAAAGTGTTTCACATGCGTGTAAGCTCGGGCATTTACTCAATTACGACTTGTCAACCCAATAGCATGTTAAGCACGTGCTTTTTATACAACGCTACCTGTGCGTGCTTCAATACACACCAACTGCACTGAAAATGAAATATGCTTTTGTCAGACCATAAATCCTCTGCCTGTGTCTCTTGGTGTTGAAACTTTTTGTCCCTGCAATGCCGAAGCCAACGTCCAACGGAACCAAATCAGTGGAATGAGTCGAGCAGGTGCTACAAATCGCATGATCAGTCTGCAACTTAACGTAAGCAAAGAACTGTTCAGAGAATTAAAAAAACTCTATCGAACACAACAGTCAGTAACTGCAAAGAAATCTACAGCTCGCCCTTGGAAAAACCTCGCAACGTGATAACCGTGTACTCTTCCGTCTGGTACATCGCAACCGCCGTTTGTCTTCAAAGTCACTGAGGGACTGATGGGATCACCTTATTAACGTCCGACTTAGCGTCAAACCGTGAACAATAGACTGCTTGAAAGAGGCTACAGAGCTAGAAGACCTCTGCGTCGACCATTCCTGACTCCAGAACACAAGCGGTTACGTGTTCTATGGGCCAGGCAGCACAGAAATATCAGACTGCAACATTGGCGTCACGTCATCTTTACGGACGAATCACGTTTCTTGCTAAACAGGATCGATGGGCGGGTGCGAGTACGTCGACATAAAGAGAAAGGTTCAGGGATGACTGTGTTGAGGGTTTCATTCAGGATGGAGGTGGATCTGTTCTTGTGTTGGGAGGCATTGACTATAATGGTAAAACTGAGTTACTGGTTCTACAGGAGAACGTCAACCAGCGGACCTATCGACATGTCCTTGACCACACTTGCCTGCCGCATGCTCGCCGTGATTGCGGCAACGACTTTTTGCTGCAAGACGATAATGCTCGTCCTCATCGTGCTCGAGCAGTTGATGATTTCCTGTCGAGGGAAGGTGTGAACATACTACCCTGGTCTGCCAAAAGCCCAGACATGAATCCCATCCAGCACATGTGGGACCACATGGACCGTCAAATAAGGAAACTGGATCCTCCTCCATCAAATATAGACGATTTGGAGACATCATTGGTGAGAATTTTTAACGATGTGGCCTCACAAGGTGTCAACAAACTCATTACCAACATGCCAACCCGGATTATCGCCCTTATTGACGCGCAAGGGGGAGCAACACGTTACTGACATTGCACAAATGTTTTTGAATGATCAGACTCTCTTTCTATCATTATCGTGACAGTACACGTTTCATTTTGTGAAACCCACATTACCACAAACTGTTGACATTACGTCTTCGCAATGTGTAAGTTTACACGAATTCTTTATTTAAAGCGAATGATTTCCTAGAAGAGGCACATGATTGGCCTATGTTGCATGGCCGTGTATTTAGGATTATGAGAAGTTTATGCGAATATTAAATCTTTGCTTTTCTATCATCTCTTCTGGTTCTCTTTGTACATTTTCCAGTCCTATTAATAAAATCGAAGGGGTGACAACCATTATTGGCATGAGTACATGTACAGAAATCTAACAGAGAGAGAAAGAGAGAGTGAGAGAGATCGAGATCTACGGATGAATGGGTGGATAGATGGATGGATGGATGGTGTACTTGAAAGACTGTCATCCTTGTACATCTGCCTTGTTTCCTTTTTGTCAACTTCCCAGGAGAGATGAAAAGGAGAATTGAAGGACATCCCAGTGCTGAGCTTTCATTTGTCAAGGCTGGGCCTTACTTTATGTCACATGGAACCTACAGTGAAGACAATGTGATCAAGATGATTGACAGGACAACATTTGAGACCATAGCCACCTTTTCACCGGATTATGACGTAAGTTTATGTACATATACAGTGTTGATAAACTTCAATCAGCCAGTAGCAGAGTACATAAAACATATCAAGTGTTATACTTTTCTTATTCAGTATCTACCAAATGTCCAGGTATTGAAGAAACCTAATAAACATCAGTATAATAAAAAATCTGTTGAACAGACTTCTATCGTTTCCTTTAAGCTTTTCACTTTACTGGTTTGATTTAGCCACCCTTCGGGGTTCTTCCATTACCTCTGGGCCCAATGATGTATTTAAGGAAATAATTTATAGTATAAATGTGACCTTTTGTCATTCCTTACAGACACGAGATTTATCGCTCACCAAAGATGGCTACCATGTGGTATGTTACTTCCGAGAGTTCAGGAAGCCAGTGGTGTGGAGTCTGGCAGGAGGATCTGCAGATGACCCAAACAGGGAAGCATTCAAGCCTTTGTCCAGTTTCCCTGACATCTATGGACCTGACAGTAAGTGTTCAATGACATATTTAATCAACCATTTGTCGTAAACTATCAACATTCACAGTGAACATATCACTCAGATTGAAACTGGTGAGTGAAGATGGTTTTGCTGCATTTTTAGCAACATTCCTGTAATATGTGTTGGTGTGGTATTGTACATAGAGCTCAGGTCACAACTAAATTGAGGCTAAGCAACGTTGGTCACGAAAGATTCCTTGTATGGGTGACCGTGTTTGGCAGCTAGACTCCTGACTGTTTCTAGGACTTCTTCCTGCCCCAAAGGGAAGCCCATGTGATACATGTGGTCTCACTATAGGCAAGTGAGTGTCTGCACATTTGCCTAACCCAGCAGAACATGGGTACCCAGTGGGATAAGTTATGTGACTAATAACCTTCTAGTGTAGCTTGGGTTATCCGGGTCAGTAACCCTATTTGCTCTTCGAGCATGCCCTAGCGCGGGGGTCAGAGCTATATAAGTGGCCTTATCACGGCAAGAGCAACACAAACAAACACGAGAATACCATTATACTTCACTCTGACTTCAAAAAGTGGGATTGTACTATATGATACTTGTCTAAACCAGAAATTATAGGCCAGAATCTGAGAGTATATGAGACTGTGTGCGTGCGTGCGTGACTGCGTGCGTGTGGGTGTTTTCAAAATGCGTTCAAAGTGTCATTTATATCTTCTGTATAACTATATGATTACATATTTGCAGCGGTTCAACTAAAACTACAACTGGCAATGGACACGGATGAAGCTGATGATCCGGATGACCTTGATAAAGACATCGATGAGGTGGACAGTGACGCCAGTGATGATGATGATGAGTCTCAAAACAAGAAGGATCTCGACGCGATTTCTTCACTTTCCGGTTTGTCAGATTTGGACCTGAAATCGGGTTTGTCAGATTTGGACCTGAACTACGATTTCTCAGATTTGGACTTGGATGATCTGGGGGATGAAACAGAAAAGTCAGAGAGAAAGGCGCCCGCCTGAATAGCTGATTCAAATTTCGGGAAAACCCTCCTAATTCGTAACAGTAAAAATGACAATACTTAAATATAAACTACAACGTTCATGTTATATATTGAGCGTGTGTCACTTGGAGGAGGGGGGTGGGAGAGTTGGTGGAGACTTCATAACTTGTTCTCAGTACATGAAGAGAGTACTGATCGGGTTTAATGAAACAGTCGTTTTAATGTCTGACCTAAGAGGATGTGGAAACCCTCTGTTGAACCTGTCGTATATAGACAAGGTGGAAGTAACTGCCAACGGACATCAGATATAAGTGATAACTTTCAGTCATTCGGATTTGTGGTCCGTCTGTTCTGCGTTTCATTTTATTAATTTTATTAATAGTTTAGCTGTTTGAGTTGGTACTTTTATGTACTTAAACAAGTAATAACTTAATGTAAACCTGCATTTGACCATGTAATAGGCCTCGGTATTGTATATATATTAATAATCATGTCCGTGACATAATAGTTTGTATACTTCTGCCTAAGACCATAAACAATATTTCCCGATATTACTGACATTTAATATTTGAAATTGTTTGTTTTCAATTCCATATTCATCATATTGCTCAACAAAGAAGACTGTGATACACGTTACATAGCTTTAACAATGAATAAAATCTTTTAATATAGCCCTGTTACATTTACATAAAAATTATATTTGAAGACGTCAAACTGCCGATATATCCATAGCAAGATCCAAAAGGACCCCACCGAACACCCTTGATCAAGCCCACGTTGATACTGAAATGATCGAGTATTGTTTTTTACACCGAAGTCATCAATAGTCCAATTATATCACAGGTTCACTGAACAATTGTGTCTGGAACAGTAGCCATGGACAGCATTCCATGTGTTTTGGTTTGGCAAGGATAATGCCCTAAACGGGGTGTTTATCCTGACGTTTTTTCGTGAACACCAGGTGTCAGCACTAAGCCAGAGATTTCCACTGCTAATGTAGATTCTAGGGCCGAATGGAACCTGTTTCTGTGTTTAATAAAGGCTTGTTCGTTTCTGGTCTTGACCTTTTGTCTTTACCTTGCATGGGAAATGGTGAAGATCCGGGTTAAAATTGATCTTAAGTAATCCATGCTTGTCGTAAGAGGCGACTAACGGGATCGGGTGGTCAGGCTCGCTGACATACATGTCATCGTATCCCAATTGCGTGGATCGATACTATGCTGTTGATGACTGGATTGTATGGTGCAGACTCGATTATTTACAGACCGCCGCCATATAGCTGGAATACTGCTGAGTGCGGCGTAAAACAAAATAACCTTAAAACCTTGCATGGAATAGATTGGTATTATAGTTCAGGGTTGTATTACCGGTAGCTTGTGCCACTGCGACCATAGGTACAGATAAGCTGCGTATCTGCGTAAATTACGCAAATAGTTATGTGAAAACTCAATTCCTATTAAGTTTGTTGCGTACAAGTACGCTTGACGGTTTGTAAATACTCACTAAATTTGATCTTACATGCGTACAAACAAAGAAAGATAAAATAACTGAGGTATATTGAGAGGTTCAATTTCAGCACCTGAACTTGGCAACTTGCAGTCTTTCTTATCGTTTCTCATATAACATATCAAATATAAATAACAAACACATAAACCAACATTTAAACTTTATTATACATATGTTTACAATTAATGGAAAATGGCAAAATACCCAAATGAGTTTTGAGTGATGTAGGTACAATATATTTGGTTACGCAAAGGAATATTAGGATGCGGTGAACACAAGCGAGTACATAACTCAATGACTCAAAAAAGATATCTGTAGCTCTGCTGCGAGTTCCGGTATTGGCATGTGACACGTGTAGCTTATGGCACTTGAGCATCAGAAGGTGTGGGTGGTATGTAAATAGTATTGGGACTACAGCAACACACGATATCCAATGGTTTAACGTGTATCATAAATCCTGCGTTATATCGAACGTGACCGGGACAGTATACCCGACAAACACCTCAACACAGCACTGGAATAAAATCGACGAAGGTTTGTAATCATGGACGAGAGACGGTGGTGGTGGTGGTGATATAGTTTTAGGGCGACTTGGACCAGAAGTAAGGTCTATTTGCTCCCAACACATTAACTGAAGTTGAACTATCATAAACATAATTAGGCCTACTGCAAATGTTTATAGTTACCATTTACAAACATTGTATTCGAGAGACGAGCAGTTGCGGTGAATTGCCTCCCTTGAGCAAGGTAACAGTCGATAAAGAGAACACGGTCTCTGATGGAGAGTGAAATAGTGACGACCTTACTCAACACACAAAGATTCCACATGGGGGGGGGACATTGACACAATACAAATACGAAGATCGGTCCAAACGTACAGTTCTATTTGGGCTTTGACATAATGCCCCAATAACTATCGCGTTAAACGCGTCGTGAAAGGTAGGCTCGTGGAACCCAAATTATCCGCTTACAAATGTCAGCATACAGGCGTGATTTTCGGCCGGCTTTCTGTTGTCAAAGCTGCGCGTAAACAAAGACGTAAACATGGCGTGTCATCATTACAAACGCTTGTGAATCTGTGAGTAGGTGAGTGAGTTAATTTTACGCCGCTTTTAGCAATATCCCAGCGATATCACAGCGGGGAATACCGGACGTGGGCTTCACACAGTGTACTCATGTCTTGTTGATTTAGTTTGATGGAAACCTTTTTTTGAATTGAAACTTTGGAAAAGGTAAGCGTGTCATGCCGTATGGATGGCGCCTATGTAACATGCATACAAAATATATACCAAGTCAAATTTTCACCTCAACAAACACGAGTCAAAATAGAGAACTGTTTTGGCAGACACTAGATTGTAAATGATCCCAAGTTAAAGTATCTATATTAGGCACAGAAAGAAACTGTGCATAAAAAAATTAAAATCTAAATTTATCAAACCTGTGTAGAAACATAAGGATTTAAACTCAGAGATTAGTGACATGTATCCAACATGCATGCACGTGCCACGTTCCGTGACGTCAGTGGGTTCGTCCTTGAGACATGCAATACGTTGTTGCACGTGCATTCCGGGAAAGAGAAACAGAGTAAATGAATGCCACACAATACTGTCACTTTGGAAAGCTCAAGCCCTGCCCTTGCGATCGTTCAAAAAATTAAACGACTATTGAAACGCATAGCATGCCAAGGCTCACGTCTGCACAACGTCATGAGGCCATTGGGATGGTCCGTGGGGGAATGTCTCAACGACAAGTGGCAGCACATTTCCACTGCCACCGGAACACCATTTCTGCACTGGTGAGACACTACCAGAACACAAATGACGTCATCGATCGGCCACGTTCTGAACGTCCACGTGTAACAACGCCAAGACAGGACAGATGGATAAGGGTGACCAATCTTCGCCACAGGTTTCAGACTGCAGTGATGACTGCCCGAACCATCCCAGGACTTCGCCGTATCCACCCCAACACAGTTCGACAACGTTAACGTCATCACGGGATCAGACCACGACGTCCCGCCATACGGCCTATCCTGACACATCGTCATCGGCAAGCTCGCCGAATGTGGTGCCGAAATCATGTCCGCAGACCCTTGTTTTGGTGGAGAAATATTGTTTTTACAGATGAGTCCAGGTTTAACATTTCCCATAGTGATGGACGTCAACGTGCCTATAGACGCGTGGGAGAACGTTATGCACAGGCCTGTGTCTTGGAGAGGAATCGCTTGGGTGGTGGTTCCGTGATGATTTGGGGTGAAATAACAGCACGCCTTTGGTGATTGTTCAGGGCAACTTAACTGGTGTGGGCTACAGGGATCAGATTCTTCGACCTGTGGCAATTCCTTATCTGTAACGTCATGGCCCTGGGTTAACATTCCAAAAGGACAATGCCCACCCTCATACGGCAAGGGTTGCTATGGATTTATTGCAACACCACAACGTTGACTTACTGCCTTGGTCTGAATTTCACCGGATCTCTCCCCGATAGAGCTTGTTTGGGACGAGATGGATCGACGTCTACGCCGTCTTCCTCATCCGCCAGATAACGTCCTTGAACTTGAGAGTATCTGGCGTGACAGCCCACAAGCCTTTTTGATAGGCTCTATGCGTCGTCGATGCACTGCTGTTCTCAATGCCGATGGTGGACATACCCGTTATTGAGCTTGTGACATGGTCGTTTGACCCCTGTCCCGCTTGTGGATTCGGTACGTCATTGTGATTGACTTTTCAATTGAAATTCTCCAGACTTGTTATGGTCTCATGATCCCTCCATTAAAGTTTATATGTACCTTAGACATTGTTATCGTACTTATCAAATGGGATAATATTTTGACAATGCACAGTTTCTTTATGTGGCTAGTATATATTACTAATGTACTGCATGCAAAGTACGTAAAACATATTTTTGTAAGACACGACATCACACGATGTTTCTGATTTATCCACCCGAAGAAGGGGCAAGAACTAGCCCGGAAACGTCGTATGAAACAAATAAAGAAGTTGTTACCCATATATTTGTCTTTTATTACTACACCAACTTCTAAATGCCTTTGAAGAATTACATTTTTTTGACTGTATAGCTGTATTTTAAATCTGATGGACGAATGGTAACAGGCCACTTATTCAGACAATAATGACTGAAGAAATGTGCAGATACGTGTGCGTCGTCCTTGACATTGTCAGCTGAACGGTACCTGTGAATGTGCTGCTTGTGAAGATCCGGACAATTTTGGCTGTAGGCGGACATTCCACTGTCACATTACCACGCATGACCTCATCAGACTTCCCGTGATGCTTTGGGAGATCTCTGTGTCGATGACTCATTCCAGGTCTCTCTTGCAGCTGTGACTTCAACTCAGATCTCTTTTTACTGATGGTAGGTCGAGTTTTGACCGCACCCTCATTCCTGGATTCCACGTCGGTTTTCACAGAGACAAAATCCAAGTTGGTTCCCGTTTCTTTTATAGGGGCTTCATTTGGATGCTGAGTAACACTGGCTCGACGAAATACATAGTTATACTGTTGAGAAAATATATGACAGATCTTAAGCATATTCCCTGAGTGGTTCTATCATGAATGAGGGAGTTTGTTTTAACCTCACAACATTTCAGTTATATCCCGGTGTATATGGCAATAGTTATATTTATATTGTTTTATTTTAACGTTTTTATTTCCCAGTACATGTTTACATGACATTATAATTATGAACAGATGTTCACATATGCAAGGCATACATAAATAGACAGTATTTACAGGTTTGGCATAGGGCCTTTGGCGATGTTACATTGACCATTCATATATGTT